TTAATTACTTTCTCTTCACTGCCTGTCCTTAATTGTGTTTTTTAAAAACCAATTATTCATTTTCTTCACTCTTTAAAGCCTCTCTCTTTATTGGTCTTCAAAGATTTCCCTGTGATTTTTAAATTAAATTTGCACCTTATAATGCTACCTCCTCTTCCATAAACATGTAAATGACTTTACCTAGGATGTGTAATTCCTAAATGCCCTGTCTCCTTTGCAGTTGGCTTTAAACTCAATTCTTGTTTAAATTTCGTTTTCGCAAGTGTTACCTATTCACCAAATCCAGTATTTTTAGTTATATTTTTTATTGCCTGTGGGGTTAAAGCTTCAGGGTCTCTTGCTTAAAGGAGCCTTTAAAATGTTTGTTGTTGAATATTTTTGTAAAGTTGCAAAACCAAAAATATTTTTGCATTCTTTTCAAGTTTCAGGCCCCCCAAACCTGAATTTGCCATTTTAAAAAAGGTGATCCACCCCTCATAAAAAAATTTCACAGATTCTGTTATAGCCTGAGGTAACAACATTGGGCATGGCTCCCTTCAACTTGGTCACAGCAAAGGAAGGAGCTAATTGCTGAAACCGGTTTCGCTCAGTGGATAGAGCATCGGATTGCAGACTGAAAGGTCCCAGGTTCAATTCTGGTCAAGGGTATGCCCTTGGTTGTGGGCACATTGGGGGATGTGCAGGAAGCAGCTGATTGATGTTTCTAACTATCTCTCTCCCTTTCTGTAAAAAATCAATAAAATATATATTTTAAAAGACTTATATCCTGGATTGACCAAATACTTACATTATTTTCATACCTAGGCCCCAGGTCTTGTCCTTAATATTACAGATTCAAGAACTAGTTTTTAGGCCTTTTGACCAAAGTGGTCAAGCACTGAAACATTAATTCATGCTATCCAAACTCTCAAAGGATTATTTATAAACCAGAATGTTTATTTCTTAGCATACAAAAGGAATTAATTACTGTAATATATTGACTGAGTATAAATATCCACTAACTGAATCAAGATAGAGATCAAATATGATTATAAAATGTTTAGTTTTCAAGATTTAACGTGGAAATAACTGGGTGCTGAAAGCGTCCTTACTGCAGAGGAATGGACCAAATCTCTAAACCCTGTTTCTTGAGTGTCTTAAGCATGTGCAAGATTCGGATCTACCAGTCTTGCCTGGTTATGTATGAATTGAGTTGGTCTGTGCCTTAAAGACCCCACCCCCCCAACTGCACCCACTTTGGCTGCCACACACCAATACTGTGTTCTCCCACCTTCCCAGCCTTTGTCCTCTTATTTCATTCATGCCATATGTCCATTCCCCTCTCTTTCAGTGCCCAGGCTACCCCATCAAGGTCCCTCCTAACCTAAGTTCTGTCGTCACCTGCCTACTTTTCCCTTGCCTCTCCTATTCATCATCACCTTCCAGGCTGACACCCTCATCTCCCATTGGGCCCAGCCTGGCCCCACCTCTCACCCCGAATCTTCCCGGGCGTGGGCGCCGTGGGCCCGCTCCCCGCCCCAGCAGGGAAGCTGCGGGCGGGGGAGACACTTTATCCAGCTCTTTGCATGATCTCCCTCTCCCATGTTCTCCCAGTCCTACACACCGCCACCCTACCAACCCTCCCCACGAACACCAGAGTCGCCTCTTGCCCGTGTCTGTGCGGGGGGAGGTCTCCCGCGAAGGCAGCAAGGTGTCTCCATCCTTAATGGCAGGTGCGTCCAGATGCCGGCGCCCACGCCGCCCGTCCGAGAGCTAGCGGACCCCGGGCGGGCGGAGCCCCAGGTGAAGGGGAAGGGTGGTTGGCGCTGAGCCAATCAGAGCTCATGACAACAGGGACCAGCCAATCCGGGCCCGGGGTGGTGAGGGCCCGCCCCCTTGCAGCTGGGTGGCCAACGCCTTCGCCCAGGGCTGCCTAGCGCCGCGCTGGTTCCCGAGCCCGGAGCCCGGGCGCCTTCCGAGCGGGGAGACCGCGCCCTCCCGCCCGCCTGGCCCGTCCCCCGCCGCCGGCCTCGGCCCCGGCCTCCTCCTCAGCAGGTGTCGTGGTGCCACGGACGCAGGCTGACCTGAGCCGCGCCGCTCCCGGGAGACTTTGTGCCCATGGTGGGGGCCAGAGTGAGGTCGTTGCCTTGACGACGACGGCAGCATGCGGGCAGCGGTCCTCCGGGGCGGGAGCTTGGGGCGGGCCGCGGCCGCTCGGCCGGTCTCCGCTGCCCCCGGGCCCTGACTGTGTCCTCACAAGGAATCGTAACAGCCCTGAGGCTGCTAGTTTGCTAGTCAGCGTTTTTTTTTTTTAGACCCGCGGGAAAGAGAGAGAGAGAGAGATGAATTTCACCTCAAATTGGTTTCCAAGTTGAAAACCTTTTGGGTCTTTTTCCACGTGAAAAGGATATTAAAGAAGCAGTAAGTATAAGACTTTTCAAGGCTTCTGTTCATCTCACTCTGGATGTACAGTAGATTTCAATCTCTTAAACAAGATAAATTAGCATTATTTTGTATCTAACTTGTTGGTGTCAGAACTATATACTCGTACATGGCACATGTCCAGAAATACCACATGGCCAGTCGGGCAGGCTTCGTTTTTATGACCCTTCCCTGCGGGGGTAGAAGGCATGGAAAGTTATAGTTTATGGGTAACTGTTTCAGGAAACAAGAGGCTTGAGAAGCTGTGATACCTTGGAGGTATGTGCAGGCAGTGCCACTTGAAAAAAAAAATATGGGTGTGTTCAATGTGCTGTGACCAAATGTGCAATTGGCTGCAAGAATACATTTGGAGTAGTCCGCTTGCACACTGTGAGCTTATTATGTGCGTCCCAACATCTTAGGTCTGCTGAAGGTTATTTTAATTTGCTTTTTCAAATAGTGGGAAGACCATCTGCAAAATATTTTTAAGTGATGCAAGTTATAGATTCCATCTTTTTTTTTTTTTTTTTTTTTTTTTTTTTTTTGTCCTTGACATGATCAAACCTACAGTCTAGTTCTTGGTAAAAGCATGCTGTCTTAGTGGAAGGAAAAATTACTTAAAAAGGAGAGAGAAAATAACGTTGAGATATTTTTTTTTTCCTTCAAACACAGGCTTTTTTATTTGAAGATAGTGGATAGACATTAAATGGAAGTTAAAATGGCAAATGTATGGGAAGTTCGTGTTGGAACACTGCTGTGTAAACAGTTTATAATATTGTCAAAGCTGGTAGTAAAATAATGAAACAATGTGAGTTGCAGTTGATGTGATTTTAATTCACCCTTCACCCCCAGGCCAGTCTTCTGGTTTTTCATGTATATATAATAGAACCTATATAAATTATCATATGTAAAATGCTAAAAATATATTCATTGGATTATCATAGTTTGTTAAGGAGAGGGTATTTGTATTGTCTTTATCATCAGCGTACCAATAAGGAAGCGAGGAAAAGCATCACACCTCACAATCGGGTAAATTAGTTTCAGATTGCCATAATGTAATGGGTGGTAATATTTCCCCCCTTCTTTTATGAATGAGTATTTTTATATTGTCAGGTTAAAAAATTTAACCATGAATCATCATTTGAATATAAGCTTACTTAAAGGTATTTTTTCCTCCTTAAACTTTTAGAAATGTAAGGGGATTAAGATGATTTTTTTTTTGTTCTAGAATTTAATTTCAACACCAGATTTAAAAATAAAGTTTGAAATTTGCAATAAAACGTATGAATTAAAATCTATCTGTATTTGGACTGAAAGGTTTTTTTCTGTACCACACTATGTAGTGGACTGATTGCTGGACCTTCATCAATCATTTAGTAAAGTAAGGAAGGTTTTATTAGGGTTGCCTTTATCCAGAAAATGACATGTAATTGGGAGTAGAAAAGAATTATAAACATAGCCTGGCTGGTGTGGCTCAGTGAATGAGCATGGACCAATGAACTAGGAGGTCACAGTTTGATTCCTGGTTAGGACAAATGTCTGGGTTGCAGGCTCCATCCCCAATGTGGGGGTGTGCAGGAGGCAGCCAATCAATGATTCTCTCTCATCATTGATGTTTCTATCTCTCTCCCTCTTCCTTTCTGAAATCAATAAAAAATGTATTTAAAAAGAAAAGAATCATAAACACAAAACTGAAATGATTATTCTCATAGTGAGTAATCATTAAAAGGATTTTTGAAATACTCTATTTGGCACTACTAGTATTTAACTTCTAAAATCTGCCTACATACTGTGATGTCATTGCTGTTATTTTGTAAGTTAAATATAGGAACTTACTATAGTAAGATAGATAAAGAAAAATAGCTTATCAAAGGTTCTTAGTAGTCATTTGGTAAATGACCATTTTGTGAACAAATATTCTTCCTCATTGAGTAGAGAGTATATAAAAATTTTCATCTTTGATCTTTTAATCCTGATACAAAAAATAAACATGATCTTCACTAAAACCAAATTTAGTTGCGACTTTTTCACCTTTGTGTGAAAGGAATCATATTTTTCTTAAGTGAGCTATAGCCCTAACTGGAAGGGTCCCAGGTTCAATTCCAGTCAAGGACATCTACCTTGGTTGGGGCACATCCCCAGTAGGGGGTGTGCAGGAGACAGTTGATCAATATTTCTTATCAGTGTTTCTAACTCTATCCATCTCCGTTTCTCTATGTAAAATAATAAATAAAATATATTTTAAAAATAAAGTGAGCTGTAATTGTTTTGTATGTAGTTCTAGTTGTTTATCCAAATTAAAAATATGTTGAATTTTATCAACATGACATCTAGTAATTTAAATTTAAAGTTAATGGCTTCAGTTATATTTGTGTTGTCTATTATGAAATGTATATAAATATTTTGAAAACAACAAAATTGGAAACAATAAGAAATTGTGAGTCAGCAAGGAGAACCAACAACACAATGACTGCTCTAATATGGAAAACAAGTTGGGAAGAATTACTTTGCTGCGAGTGTGGAGAAAATTAATACATTCAACATTATTAACTATATTTTGTTTTTTACAGCAAGAAAAATCCTTCTGGTTTTGAATTAAAATGGATAAATATGAGAACCTAGGATTGGTTGGAGAAGGGAGCTATGGAATGGTGATGAAGTGTAGGAATAAAGATACTGGAAGAATTGTAGCCATTAAAAAGTTCTTAGAAAGTGATGATGACAAAATGGTTAAAAAAATTGCTATGCGAGAAATCAAGTTACTAAAGGTGAGTAAACACATTTTGGGGGAAATTACTGTTATTATATTTGTTTCATATATTACAAGGTTTAAAGTATATGTTTTGGCAATAAACAAATAAAATGATTACATATGTACATTCATTTATATCATGAACATAATCATGATTTAAAAAGTGCTTGTTGCTTCTTCCCCCCACCTCTCTCTCTCTAAAAAAAGATCCAGACATAAAAGAACAAACTTTAAAAAGTTTTTTCCTTTCAACTTTTTATTGACATATAGAAAAGTACACATATCATAAAAATATATCTCTATGGATTTAAATATCTGAACAAAACCATGTAATCGCCATCTAAATCGAGTAAGAGAACACGAAAATAACCACAGAAGGCCCTCTCTCATCCCTCCACTCACCCCCCCCCCACACACACCCTTCTACTCCCACCCTTATACCTTCTCTAGTCACTACTGTCTTCCTTTTCTACTCAGGTCACAATTGTCTTGATTACAATCAGCATATTTAGTTTTATTTTCTGCAACCTTGTTCCCGTTATATCTAAGAAGGTTTTGGGTTGTTTTGTTGTTGTTGTTTTTCCTTTTCAGGGTGTGTCACCTACTTTGGAGAACTCTGCCCTGCCAGTTTTGTGGCTAGAGATAATCTCTTGTATCTTCCTACACTCCTGTTTGACCTTGATTGCATTTGGCAGTTTCACCTCATTTGTTGTGGGGTAGGGGTCATAGATCCTATTATGGTACGGTAGTACGGTAGTTGTCAACACAAACCAGACAAACTGTGAATCCTACAGGATCAAGAATTTACTCATTTATTCAATGACAATCATGTCATCATCTTCTGGAACATCATCATAACAATCCAATTCCTGAATTTCCTGGTGGATTTCTTGTGACTCAATTTCTTTCAGAATCAGTGGACCAAATCTCTCATGTTTAGCAATAGCACTGTCTTTAAATGAGTACTTCTTGTCAAGGTAGCCTGCTCGCAGTGCATTTGCAATGCAACTGTCAGTGATTTTCTTCCATGAGTTCTTCACCCAAGTCACAACTTCTTGCAGTTTAGGTTTCACAAAGTTTCCACACTGATTTCTCTCCATTCTATTTTCAATGTAGTCATTAATTTCCATGTGCAAATTGTCTTTGAATGGCTTGTTTATTGCAATATCAAGAGTCTGAAGATAGGTCATCATTCCTGCGGGAATCATTATCTGATCTATTTTTCTTTCATGAAGAAATGTCTTCATGTCTTTAGCACGGTGAGTGCTGGCTGCATCCCAGACTAACAGACCTCTTTGGCTCCCTCACATAACAAGCGGCAGCATTAAATCGACCCACTTTCTTATAACTGCTTGTGTGGCCCAGGATTTTTCAGTTTCAAGAGTAAAAATATCCAAAACACGTTTAATCTTTTCCTTCTTGCCCTTAGAAATGATTAAAGGTGGGATTTTAGTGCCATCCAGATGAATTGCCAAAATACAGGAATCACATGCACTTTTGTAAGCAGTGGAGGGAATGGAGAATAGGGGGGACCTTATTTTCGGGGGAATGCCTTATATTTCACTCAGAAGGAAACTTGTAAGTAGGTCTTATTTTCGGAAGATGTTTTATTTTCGGGGAAACACAGTAGTTCCATCAGAAATAAAGCTACATTTCTTTTTCTTATTGTTTTTATTGTGTTCTCTGAGAGGACACAGAGTAATGTGGTCTTTTAACTAGAATTTAAAAACCAGAATATACATTTATAATTTATACTGTTCATGCATTTTAGTTATGTCTTTCTTATGGTAAGACCTATTTTGGATTGTCACTAATTGCTAATCATTTGATGCTGTAAAAACTATTTTGCATTTTTTTTATAACAGCAACTGAGGCATGAAAATCTGGTGAATCTGTTGGAGGTGTGTAAGAAAAAAAAACGATGGTACCTAGTCTTTGAGTTTGTTGACCATACCATTCTTGATGACTTGGAACTCTTTCCAAATGGACTAGACTACCAGGTGGTTCAAAAGTATTTGTTTCAGATTATTAATGGAATTGGATTTTGTCATAGTCACAATGTAAGTATTTAGTTTAAATAATTATTTTGCCAATTATTGACTCTCCAGGCAGCAGTCATTTCATTTAATGAGATACTTGTTTAAAGTTTGGACCAATAAAGTCATAGAAATGAACGGTTACTTTGATATTGCCAATTTTCATTTGCCACAATACATGTATTCTTTTCCCCACCATCTTATTATGAAAAGTTGGGGCCATACCATACTGAAAAATAAAGAGTGTGCCATGAATACCCATATAATCTACCGCCTAGATTCTATACTTGTTAATGTTTTTCCATATTTTCTTTATGGTATATTTATTTATCTATTTATTAATGCCTTATTTATGTATTTGTAAGTAAGTTACAGATATCAGTACACTTCAACCCTAAATACTTAGGCTATATATATTAACTAGAGTTTAATATTTTTTTGCTTTTGTTTGAGGTGACATTTACTGAGTGAAATGCACAAATTTTAATGTATGAGTTTTGACAAATGCACTCACCAAGGATCCATGTATATGTTAGTTCAGATTCTTTGCCGAGTTGTGAAGTATAAAAATCCCTGCTCTTCATGGAACAAATTGTTGAACCTCAGAGAGAAGGCAGGGGTGAATGGGTGGGTGGGAAGAGATCAACCAAAGAACTTGTATGCATAACCCATGGACACAGACAGTGTGGTAAAGGCTTGGGGTGAGGGGTGAAGGGTGAGGGTGGGTTAGAAGATGTCAATAGGGAAAAAGGGGAGCATATGTAACATTTTCAACAATAAACATATGTTTTTAAATCCCTGCTCTTAGCCTGTAGTCTATCACAATAATTTTATATCCTTTGAGCATCAATAAGAGTACCGCCAAGTAAAATGGCACAAAGTACAAAATGAATAATTCAACACATTATTCTTTCAGTTTTACAAAATATTTTAATGACATTTTTTGTGTGTGTGATTATAAAAATAATAGATGCTAATGGTAGATGTGGCCCTGTGAGCTTGCATGGATGTAATAGCAGTTGGTAGCCTCTGCAAACTGCTCAGTAATGGCATATTGCCATTTAAGATGCTGGTCCCCTGAAAGAGTTTAATATATATATATATTAAATATAATATATATTAAATATATAATATATATAAATATATAATATTTAATATATAATATTTTTTCAAAATACAATTTACTTGTATTAGAGAATTAGTTCTAATATTTTGTTTTGCCTAGTTATAGAATTTTTAGTATTGTCTCCCAGTATTGATATTTTTCTCCTTTACAAATCTTAACCACTGCTCTTGTTGACCCTCTTTATATTTCTTTTTTTAAAACATATTTTTAGTCGGGACCGGTTTGGCTCAGTGAATAGAGCGTCGGCCTGCGGACTGAAAGGTCCTGGGTTTGATTCCAGTCAAGGGCATGTACCTTGGCTGCGGGCACATTCCCAGTTGGGGGTGTGCAAGAGGCAGCTGATCAATGATTCTCTCTCATCGATACTTCTAACTCTCTATCCCTCTCTCTTCCTCTCTGTGAAAAATCAATAAAAAATATATTTAAAAAGAAAAAGAATTCTTTCTAAAAACAAACAAACAAACAAACAAAAACATATTTTTATTGATTTCAGAGAAAGGAAGGGAGAGGGGAGAGAGAGAAACATCAATGATGAGAGAGAATCACTGATCAGCTGCCTTCTGCAGCTCCCTATGGGGGATCAAGCCCACAACCTGGGCATGTGCCCTGACTAGGAATCGAACCCTGACCTCCTGGTTCATGAGTTGATGCTCAGCTACTGAGCCACACTAGCCTGGCGACCTTCTTTACATTTCTAATTGCCTGAATAATGCCTCCATTTGGGTGCTCAGCAATCCTCATAAAGGTCCCTATAGCTAAAAGTAAACTACTAATTATTCCATCAAAATTAACTTTTTCTAAGCTTTTTAATTTTTGGCAATAAAACCACCATTCTTTTAGATTCCTGAGTTTAAATAAAATATCTGAGACTACTTCCTAAGCTCTATTGGTGTTTGATCCAAATACTTATAAACTATGTCTCCTTCTTTCTATTCCTCCAAGCACCAATCTAGTTTAGGCCCTTATTGCCTCGTAGTTGTCCCACTGCTCTTTTCCCTGCCTCTAGTCCCTCTCTCTGACTTAGCTTGTTTATGGCCAAAATCTTTAAACATCATAATGGTCATACCACTTCCATGGGTTCCCATGGCCTTGACAGGAGCTCAGACCCTCAGGCTGGCAGTTGAGACATCCTTTCTCTAGTATATAACCTGTCCTGTAGAAGCAACATGCCTCTAGTCTACTGATCTTTTTCTCTTCATTTTTTTGTTCTCTATGTTACCTTCACTTGGAGTGCCCTTTCATTTCCACATTTATTCAGGTCATTCTTAGATTAAAGACCTACCTTAGAGCCCATCCCTTTCATAACATTTTTCCTTGATTACCCAGTCTTCAATTACAGCTTTACTCTCTTAATCTTGAGAGCAATGAGTAACAGAACAATTGATTTGGAATATGTACTATCTTCGATTATTTACATAAAATGTTAATGTATCTATTTTTATTTCTTTCCCAACTAGATTTCAGGTTCTTTAAAGCCAGGAAGAATTTCATATGTTTTTATTTCTATTCATTATAGGGACAAAAACAGTGCCCTGCACATGGCAGGCACTAAAAAGATAATTAACTTATTTACCTTGATGTGCCAATATATGTCATTCTCTGTGGTTTGCTTTTTTTTTTTGTCTTAGATCATACATAGAGATATCAAGCCAGAGAATATATTAGTCTCCCAGTCTGGTGTTGTCAAGTTATGTGATTTTGGATTTGCACGGACATTGGCAGCTCCGGGGGAGGTTTATACTGATTATGTGGCCACCCGATGGTACAGAGCTCCAGAGCTGCTGGTTGGTGATGTGAAGTATGGCAAGTAAGACATCATGGTGGGGGTGGTGTGGGGGGTGCTGATATCTTTCTAATATAAAAAAGATTCCTCTAACACTGGAGGGAATTTTTGAATTTAGAGAACTTTACAAAGTGATTTGTAATTTTTGGTGCTTCCCCTTTAAGCATTCTTGTGAAACAATTTGGGGTGTGTATACTGATATTTTAAAGGTAGGGAAATCAAGGTGAGCAAGTAGTCTGTTTTCTTACAGTGGTTCAGAAATAGGTATACTCTATTTCACTTAGAAAGAGAGGTGACATGGATTGGATAAGTCTGAAACTATTGGAATGAGATGAATGGACAAGGCTCAGGGTAAAAACAATTTGGTGAAATGTTTTTAAAATATAATTGTTTCCATAAATGAATTTTTCAAAGAAGATGGGATTGTAACTCTTACTGCTTTGATAGAAATCGTTAAAAAGTATTTTCTACAATTTCTGTTTTCAGAGTATACATCATTTAATGTTTTATTGATTACTTTAAGTTCTTCTTCTACTGTCATACTGTAACCTTTATATCATTTTATAATATAGCTATGACCTTAAGAAATTTCAAGGTAGTTGTCCTTATGCTAATAATGCCAGAATAATCTTTAAATTCTTATAACTGATTTTAAAGACAGTTTTTCTTGTTTTTCTTTATTAGCTTTCAGTTCTCCTTCTTGTTACTGTATGTGTCCTTAACGACCACCTCCTTCTGGTAGTTTTCAGTGTATGGTGGGATAGACTGATTAACTTGTTAGAATTATGTGTAAACAAAGAGTGAACAGCTTCTAAGTGAAAACCCAAAAGACTTATCTTCATAATAAAGTCAAATATTATGACTTTTTAGAAGCCTTTTCCTTCTATGTCACATGATCAAACTTTCTGGAAATCTGACTTACATAAAATTAGGAATTAGTACTTTAAGTTTATAGGTCATTTAAAGCTTGCTACTACTTTTCTCAATACCTAGAATATTTAGTAGTAATATGCAGAGCAGATTCAAGTCACAGTAAACATATAAGGAGGCCAAATTTTACACCACACTGCTTTTCTTTCAGAGCTGTTGATATATGGGCCATTGGTTGTCTGGTAACTGAAATGCTCATGGGAGAACCTCTCTTTCCTGGAGATTCTGATATTGATCAACTATATCATATTATGACGTGTTTAGGTAAGATTATACATCTACATTTTTAATTCTAGAGGCTTTCTCCTATGCTTGTTTGTTTGTTTGTATTAATTTTACAAGGTAGGAAGCAAATAAGAAATTTTCATATATGTATGTATATATTCATTCATTGTCAGCCTGGCCTTGGTCTGTGTGACCTATGGTCTTTCACTCCACCTACTGCCCCACTTCCCCCTAAAGAGCAAAGGTAATATATATATATATATATATATATATATATATATATATATTTGCACTTTCGAATTCAGTCAGTCAAACACAGAAAGGATGCAAATGATTGCTTATTACCTATGGATCAATAAGCATTTGGTGTAATATGACTATACCCTCATCCCCACCTTCAAATTGAGAGACACAGAGACTTCCAAGGTAGTTTAATCTTGTTGTAGATGTGACTTTTGTTGTTAGTACTTTAGATGGAGTGTCAAAGCTAGATTATCACATTATTCTCACATTTGTTGAAATATCAACTTCATTGTTGGGAGTTAGAACTTGGAAAATAAAAAAATGGTAAAATATTTGGGTTCTATTTAACTATTGGGTTTTAAGTTTCCAGGTTAAAAATTCAACAAACAGTATAATGGTTTCATATATATTTTATGCTCAGATGGTATTGAAGTTGATAAAAAAGATAAAAGTGTTAAAATCAGACCTGAACATAATTATAAAATCAATTGACCAAATATTAAATTTTTAAATGATAAGACTGATTTATCTAGATTAGATTCTGACCATATTTTCATTGTTTTAGTCAGAACTTTAATGCTTTTTGGTGTTACAAATGAAGTGCTGGTGATTATTTAAAAAAAAAACAATTATAGCCCAGCCAGAGTGGTTCAGTGATTGAGATCAATCTATGAACCTGGAGGTCATATTTCGATTCCTGGTCAGGGCACATGGCCCGGTTGTGGGCTCCATCCCAGTGTGGAGCATGCAGGAGGCAGCAGATCAATGATTCTCAACATTGATGTTTCAATTTTTCTCTCTCTCTCCCTTCCTCTCTGAAATAAATAACAATGTATTTTTTTAAATTATAAAAATGCTTTGCCTCTCCTTTTCCTATGCTCCTTCGTGTCTTCATTGTATGTTTCCTGGCATATGAACTTTCATTAAGAGCACGGTTGGTTTTGCAGAGAGAGAGCCCCAACTCCATAAGCATGTCCCACTTTTTTGTCTACTCCACATCACCTGTCTCTGCCATTACTCTCATGATGTATAATGACAGAGATGTGTGCTGTCCCCACCTCCAGGTAATCTCATTCCAAGGCACCAGGAGCTGTTTTATAAAAACCCTGCCTTTGCTGGAGTAAGGTTGCCTGAAATCAAGGAAATGGAACCTCTTGAAAGACGGTATCCCAAGCTCCCTGAAGTTGTGATCGATTTAGCAAAGGTAACCATACTTTTTCATTCACATTCTGACAGGGAATTTATATTTCAGAAAGTTGGCTTTCTCTCTCTTTTTTCTTTCTTTCTTGTTTAGTTGATCATTTAGGTCAACAATTTTATGTGTATGTGTGTGTTGGGATTTTGGGAGGATGACTTCAGAGATAAAAACCTGAAAATTTCACCTAAGAAATCATTTAGTTTATCTAGTATGTTTTAAGTGTGAAAACATCCTCATAGAGATGTTTTTAATGTTTAACATTTAAAGTGTAAGCTTTGTTTAAATAGAAAAGGAAAATAGGGTAAGAAAGTAAAAAGAATGGCAGAGTCGTAGGAAAATTATTTAAATTAAATGGCATAGATTCATGACCTGCGGTGTATTTTTAAACCAATAAGCATGGATACTACCCTTGATGTGAGCCAAAAGGTCGAGAGGTGATCTATTGTGTATCCCACTGAGCCACTGGATTTGCTGAAGCTAATTTGCAAGTCATCATCACCTTTGCCTTGTGTTTGATTGAGGTAGATATTAGGAAAAGTCTCAATGGATCAAATTGTCTTTAAAAGTGGACATTTTGGAATTATTAGCTCAAAAACATTCTTGTTAGGATTGTCCTAAAGTATTAAATAAATATCTCTAAAACACCAGGATCACATAACGTTTATCTAAGTTATTTTATTTTTATTATTTTTCGTTTTCTATATAATTAATTTAAAAAGTTTAGTGAGCCCGGGCTGGTTTGGCTCAGTGGATAGAGCGTCAGCCTGCGGACTGAAGGGTCCCAGGTTTGATTCCAGTCAAGGGAACATGTCCAGGTTGTGGGCTCCATCCCTAGTGGGGAGCGTGCAGGAGGCAGCTGATCAATGATTCTCTCTCATCGTTGATGTTTCTATCTCTTGCCCTCTCCCTTCCTCTCTGAAATAAAAATATATATTTTAAAAGAAAGTTTAGTGAGCTTATAACAAATTATAATAAATTCTTAAAATAACACATGTCTCATTTTCTCTATAATCTAACACATGCAAATATTTTTCACTGAAACCTGCTTTATGATCAATCTTAAATAAAGAGTCTTAAAGGGAATAAAAAGAAAATTATTGTCTAACTTATGACCCTTATAGTAGAATCATATAACTTTTAAAACATTTTATTACAGAAATTTTCAACAGAAAAGAAAGAATAGCAATAGAATGTAGCCTCGTATACTTGTCATCTAGCTTCAACAATTAACAATCTCTAGACCAGTGGTTCTCAGCCTTTCTAATGCGACCCTTTCATACAGTTCCTCATGTTGTGGTGACTCCCAACCGTAAAATTATTTTTGTTGATACTTCATATAACTGTAATTTTGCTACTGTTGATGAATGGTAATGTAAATATGTGTTTTCTGATGGTCTTAGGCTCTACAGCAGCACTTCTCAACCTGTGGGTGACCCGCTAGGAGGGTCGCCTAAGACCATCAGAAAACACAGATATTTACATTACCATTCATTAACAGTAGCAAAATTACAGTTATGAATAGCAACGAAAGTAATTTTACGGTTGGGGGGTCACGACAACATGAGGACCTGTATTAAAGAGTCGCGGCATTAGAAAGGTTGAGAACCACTGCTCTAGACAAACTTTATCATTTATCTAGACCCTCTGCACCTTTTTTTGAGCATTTTGAAACAAATTACAGATACTATATTTTTTTTACTTATAAATACCTTAGTTATATATAGAACTTTTCTTGTTCATTTAAAGCTACTTATTGAGTCCCTTTTATTTTTACTAACATTGAATGGTTTCAATTAATCAGAACAAAAATCCATGTAAAGTATCTAGCACAATAGTAAGCACAGACCAGGTCCTTTCCTTCCCATTCTACAAGGGCTTTAACATTTCACCATAATTCCTTAATATCATAAAAAAATCTAATCAATGTTTCATTGATTTTTCTCATAATTTCTTTTTATAGTTTAAATTAGGATTCACAGAGTCTACATTTCAATCAGTTAACTTCTTTTTTTAAAGGAGGTTACATTTTTTTTTAAAAAATGTTTTATCAATTTCAGAGAGGAAGGGAGATGGAGAGAGGGATAGAAACCTCAGTAATGAGAGAGAATCATCAATTAGTTAATGCATGCCCTCTACTGGGGATTGAGCTCCCTATGGGGGCATGTGCTGTGACCAGGAACAGAACCATGACCTCCTGGCTCAACGCTCAACCACTGAGCCACACTAACTGAGATAATTATCTTTTTTTAAAGATTCTTAATTTACAAATTCATCTTCATCTCTTTTTTTTTTTGTCTACTTTAACCTTGATAATTATTTATTGAAGAAACTAGGTTGTTTGTCCCTTAGAGTTTCCCATATAGTATAGTTTAATATGTTCCTCTATGTCCTATATTTCTTATAAATTCATAGAGCTAGAGCTTGATCAGAATGTCTGGTGGTCTTTCTTTTTGTGATATTAGTAACCTTTGGTCATTGTCTAGATTTGTGATTTATTCTTTATAATTTATCATAGATGTTTAAATTCATAACTATAAGGAAGTATTTTCTATATTTAGGCATTTAAATGTGGTTAGATTTTTTTTTTTTTTAATGAGCTACATGTTTTTCTTTTGGTTTTCCAGAAATGCTTACATATTGATCCAGACAAAAGGCCCTTCTGTGCTGAACTCCTGCACCATGATTTCTTTTGTATGGATGGATTTGCTGAACGGTATAGTACTGGCTCATGTTTTCCAGGTCTCCCTGGTTTAGAGTTGAAATAAGTTCTCCATAATAGTAACAGACAGAATTTCTCTACCCAGCTATTTTTATAGGGTCTCATATATTTACCATCCTACCTCCATTCATCCTTAGCAGCCACGGGATTTGTAGGAGTAAGTTCCTTGTATTCACTAACTTAGGGCTCTTGGTTTTCATGAAGCAGTCACTTCCGGCTTTTATTCCTGTCTTCCTGTGGTAACATGCATCACTCAGGTCACTGATATCTATGTTGCTACGAGTTGTATGATGCCATAATCTTGGGTGCTGGTGCATTTACAAAGGTACCATCTCCTGTTGTTGCCAAACTCAAACCACACCCAGTCCTATGACCTGCTGACCCTGCTGATGTGCTAGAGACCTTGGTGTGCCTACCCTGTGGGTGCCAGAGCTGTTGGCATGTTCTCCTGTGCTGCTTGAGCTAGTGGCATCAGTATAGCTGAGGAAGCAAAAATATAGTGCGATGAGTAGTAATGACATTGCTTTATATTTTTACAAGTCTAGTTAATATCTAGCTTAGTAAAAGATACATGGGTTCTCATGTTTTCTTCTGATTTCAGTAGTTGTGATATGTTGTGTTGTTTGAAATATATATGAAGAAACCCTGGCCTCATACAAATATGTTGTTGAAAAATGGAAGAATATTTTACTAGCTTTTTTAGATAATTATGTGCCTTCTTCTTTGATCCCATACCAAAAACTTCGATGCTACATTAAAACTTACAGTGGTGGTTCTTAAATGTTGGTTGTGGAATCTGAAACCACATTAATTAGCTTTTTTTTTTTTTTTTTTTTTTTTTTTTTTACCAGTTACATTAAAATCTCACATTTTGAATATAGGTCTTTTACACATGTATACTTTTGTAATAACATACATTAGTCATTTGGGAAATATTGTTTTGCTGTTATGCAGATCTTTAAAATGTTAACCTATTTCATTATGCCACATTAAAAAAAACCACATTCAGAAAAGTTTCATCAGAAAAGTCTTTAAATATTGGGAATTTGCTCAACTCAAAGGAGTGGATACAAACTTAACAGAATTCCAATTTTGCATAAAATTTTGAATTTTTTAACACAAATATTACCAGTTGTTTTCCTTGAAGTGACAGGCTCCTTCATTCACTTTTTAAAAGAGAATATATGCTAAATACTCTCTCTGAATAACAATAGCCAGTCTTTCTTTCAAGTAAAAATGTTTTAATAAACAGGTGGCTAGTTTAGTTTGTATCGAAAACAATCACACAGTGCTTTTCTTAAGTTAACCATTGTGCTTCAGTTTGCAGCAGTTCTTTTTGCATATTCCCATATTGTCACACAGAATATGAAAAAGGCATATGTTCAAGGATTTAGATTTAATAAAATTAATACTTTTTTACTGCTTTATTAAGGACATCCTTAAATACTACTCTCTCTCTCTCTCTCTCTCTCTCTCTCTCTCTCTCTCTCTCTCTCTCTCTCTCTATCACTGAGAATGTGTGGCTATGAAGAATATAGCGACTACTAGTGCAAATGTTATCGGGATGAACAGGAAGTCATCTTCCTCTTAAGAATAGCTTTGGCCTTTTGAACGTCCTAAAAGGTTCTTAATGATTCCCAGGAATATACAAACTGCCTTTTGAGAACTGCTAATGTAGGCCATAATTTTTTTCATTTTAAATAACATAATATAGTTTAATAGTCAATTTTAAAAAATATATTGAAAACCATTTTCCTCCTTTGATTTCTCTGTCTCACACAATTTTATTTTGTTGACAAATGTATTTTTATGTAGGTTCTCTCAGGAACTACAGTTAAAAATACAGAAAGATGCCAGAAATATTTCTTTATCTAAAAAATCCCAAAACAGAAAGAAGGAGAAGGAAAAAGATGACTTTTTAGGTGAGGAGAGAAACACTCTTGTGGTACAGGTAAGTGTCCATGTTTTGATGTCTATTAAATTTAAATTTATTATGTTGGATGGTGAAAAAAAAATGAAGGTTAAAATATTCTCTGATGGGGAATAAGTTAATTTTTAGCTTCTTTATAAAAATGTATTTTTTTCTATAGACATTGCCTGTTTAAAAAAATCTTAACATATCATGTAGTGAGTACCTACTGTGTACGAGACTATGCAGGAAATCATACTCATTCAAGAATATTTAGACACACATGTGAGTATCCACATACCAATACATGAACACACACACACACACACACACACACATGCACACCATTTTTCCCCTTTAAAAGATAAAAGAGAAAATATCATCCTAGGCGGTTTGGCTTGGTGGATAGAGCTTCAGCCTGTGGACAGAAGGGTCTCAGGTTCAATTCCAGTCAAGGGTACATATCTGAGTTGCAGGCTCGATCCCCAGTGGGGGGCATGCAGGAGACAGCCAATCAATAATTCTCTCTCATCATTGATGTTTCTCTCTCTTCCTCTTCCTTCCTCTCTGAAATCAATAAAAATATTTTAAAAAAGAAGAGAAAATATCATTGTTAGAATTTATATAAAGAAGAGCATTTTAAAATTGAGATTTGGGCCGAGGCCGGTTTGGCTCAGTGAATAGAGCATCAGCCTGCGAACTGAAGGGTCCTGGGTTCGATTCTGGTCAAGGACATGTGCCTTGGTTGCAGGCACATCCCCCGTGAGGGGTGTGCAAGAGGCAGCTGATCGATGTCTCTCTCTCATCGATGTTTCTAACTCTCTATCCCTCTCTCTTCCTCTCTGTAAAAAAACCAATAAAATATATTTCTAAAAAAAATTTGAGATTTGGGTATTGAGTTTATTTGAATGTTACTTTTCCTGGTACATTATCCAGAATTGGTTCTTGGTAAGGTAATTCAAATCCACTACCAACCACTCCTGTTTTCTCACGAGAAGCAAAAGAAAACTTTCAATTTTGTGTTTTCTGACTCTAAATATATCGAAACAAAAGTGGGCATGCTTGATTTCTCTTCCACATTTCTCCCCACTGAAATATTTATAAATTAGATATATGTATCATGTAAATCTGAAGTGTACAGGGTATGGCAAACATAGGTTTACAGGTGTGAGCATATGAAAGAGTTTATTATTGTATTATTATTTATTAATTACTGTATTATTTTCCATAGGAACAACTATAAACCTACTTTACCCCACCCTGTACACATTAGAGCTAGTGTAAATTGCATTTCTATCTGAAATAAAGGTCTGACTGAGAATCTTGGGTTTAATTTTAATTCTATATGTAGATAAAAAAAACAAAAAGGTGATGTCTATGGAATGCTGGCTTAGTGGACAAGTACTTTATAGGTAGAGGTGATTTTTCATTATCCTCAGATCATTAATGTTAATAATCTTTTTATTATTGCTCAGGATTCCAATGCTGACCCTAAAAATAAGGATTCTAGAGTATTAAAGATAAAAGGGTCAAAAATTGATGGAGAGAAAGTTGAAAAAATCAGTCGAGCTTCAAATGTCAGCTGTCTCCATGACAACGGGACTAGCCACATCAAAACAGTGCCTTCAACAAGCCTCAGAGATTGCAGCAATGGCAGTGTGGACCACACAAGGAATCCAGGCATGGCTATTCCTCCACTTACACACAATCTTTCTGCAGCAGCTCCTGGTATTAATTCTGGATTGGGGACTATTCCAGGAGTTCAGAGTTACAGGTATGAATCAAGAAAATAAGGACAGAAGGTTGTTTAAGGATATATTTGCAAATTTGTGATTGTCATTTCCTCCCCATTGTGTTATTCTCAGGCTTTTGAATACTGTTTATTTTTGTCAGGTTGCTGTTTCAAAATACTTTCTAGCCTATCTAATGAAGGTTATTAGCATTTGGTCAAATAATTAACCCAAGTCTTAAGAAAGTAGGACTGTATTGCTTAAGGTGAAGAGAATCCACAGCTATTTATTCTAATAACATGGAAGGAGATTGTCATAACAAAAGAAGTAATTGATTTTCAAGGTCTGTTTCTGCATTGCATGGCTACAGACATTTAGGGATACAAGAAAGCTCCTTTGGGGAATTTTGCTTAAAGGAAGGTAATTTGTTCAGTTGGAGTTTGGGACTGGGTAGGAGGCATGAGTATAGGACAGAATGTTTTATCAGATCTATGCTCATAGTGTATTTAAGAACAGGCATTAAATGCTGATTAAATTGCATGTCACTTGGTGCTATGTAATTTGGTTTTGTGCTTAAAAAATAATTACTGTTGGTTCTAACTTATTTTTTTGTTTTTTGTTTTTTGTTCTTGTTGTTACAGAGTGGATGAGAAGACCAAGAAGTATTGTATTCCATTTGTTAAAGGAACTCAACAGACTCCACCAGGCATTTATAATATTAACATGACCAAACCAGTAAGTGATCTGTTTTCAGTGGTAGAAGAACAAGCTAAGTAATTTCTAGACTTTTATTAATATTAAATATAATAGTGAAGAACTGAGATTTTTATTTGAGGACAAATCATAAAATGGAAGCTTAATTATGCAGGTATCTTCCCAGCCTGCCATAATCATAAATGTGAAAGACTTAAAGTTTAAATAAGTTTTAGAAAGTATTACCAATCTGGAACTTAAAATGTAAGATTTTATTAAAATGACATCTGTTTTAATTCTTTAGGCAACAGTAAATTTTCTTAACCTTGGTCACCAGTTTTGTTGTTGATTTAGAATAGAGAAGATAAATGGTCTTATCTCACCCACACTAGGATTTTGGTAAAAGTATTCTGTTTCTTAATTTAACAAATATTTATTGATTACCTATTATGTATAAAACACTGGAAATGAATGAGTCAATCTTTCTCTTCAAGGAACTCTTGGTTTAGTAGAGGATCAGCAAGTTAAAGCATAGATTGTAGCAGAAGCATGTACAAGGTTCATATGTCTCTGAAGCTTCAGAGGAACATTTTTATGCTCAAGATGGCTTTTTTTTTTTTTTTTTTTTTTTTTTTTTAAGTTAAGTCATCATCACTCTTCCACTCAAAACCCTCCCTTGGCTTTCCATTTCTGAGTGAAGACCCGAGTTCATACAGAGTCTTTAATTCCCCATCCTTCTGTCCCATTCACAGCTACTCTCATTCTTGATCAATCTATTCCAACCACAATGATTTCATTGTTATTCCTGCAACATGGTCAGGCATGCTTCCACATTTAGGCTTTTGCATTTGCTTCTCCATCTGCTTTGGAACATTCTCCAAATAATCCAGGAGACTTGCTTTTTCTCTTCTCTGGCTTACATGAAACCTTATTATGAGGTCTTCCCTAAAATGATAAATCATTTTGTCTCCCATTACTTTCTATCCTCTAACATTGCTTAATTTCCCCCCAGTATATATATATTTGATAATCTCTACATTCTTTTATTTATATATTGTCTGTCTCCCTTAAGATATAAGCTTCCAAGGCAGAGATTTGTGCTTTGTCTCCTCACTGCTCTCCCTCACACCTAGAACAGTGACTAGCAAATTGAAACTGCTTAAGAAATGCAAATGAATTCTGCCAGGGAAAGGGAGGTATGAACATATTCCCCCCAAAAATATTTTTCTCACAAATTTTCCTTCTCTACTTCTTTCATTATCCTCAATGCTGAAAAGTATAGCCTTTCTTTTTCTTTTTCTTTTTCTTTTTTTAAAAAAATATATTTTATTGATTTTGTAGAAAGGAAGGGAGAGAGATAGAGAGTTAGAAACATCTATGAGAGTCATCGATCAGCTGCCTCCTGCACAGCCCCTACTGGGGATGTGCCCGCAACCAAGGTACATGCCCTTGACCAGAATTGAACCTCGGACTTTTCAGTCCGCAGGCCAACGTTCTATCCACTGAGCCAAACCAGTTAGGGCAAGGACAAATGTTTTTAAAATGAGCGGCAAGATTATGTTGAAAAAGCAAAAAAAAAACAAAAACAAAAACAAAAAAAACAACCTAGGACATGTGATATACATGGCAAGACAAACTACGCAGAATTAACTATATGATGAAAAGCTCAGCAAGTGTCCTAAGGCCTGACCTTGCTGGCCTGATGCCCTTCTGCTAACCTTTTACTGATCGCCAGGACTTACCTGAAGTCTCGGAGAGGGAGACAGAGAAACTCATATCAACCAGTAATCCACTTGGTAGCAATTTAATACATTTACTGAGGGAGAAGTTTGAAATAACTAGGTGAAATTGGTTGTGTGTGTGTGTGTGTGTGTGTGTGTGTGTGTGTGTGTTACTTATGTTTTTCAAATATTGTATTATTCCATATCTTCAAATCCATACATTTTAGGCTATGACTACAGTAGTTAGTCATACATTTTAGGCTATATATCTATACATTTTAGGCTATGACTACAGCAAGCCCAGTTTACCTGGAATCTAATTCATTTGTGTTAATCATTCTGATGATATTAGATCACTAGTGAAAAGAGCCTCCTTCAGGCAAATAAGAAAAGAAGAGAATACACAAAGACAGATGTCCATTTGCCTGAATTAAACTATAATCATCTCCCCGAACTGAGAGCCTTGGAAGGCATAGGTATGTTTACAATGCTTTTACCTTGTCAGCCCTTTGTTTGCATTGTTTAAAATGTATGTGAAATGAACAGAATATCAAAAACTCATACATGTATGTTAAATGAACAGAATATCAAAAACTCATAGTAATTTCACATTTTATGTATGTAAATATGTATAATAAGTACTACATACAAAGGGACAGATACAAAATGTGAAAAACTAACAAAAATGTCTATTTTTTTTCACTGTGCTTATGGTTATTTTTGTGCAGCTCGAAATTCCAGGCTAATGAGGAAAGAGAACAAAAACCTTTCAGAATCTCAAATTCCTTCTCTGGCTGCTATTGATTTGCATGCCTCCAGTGTTACACTGCATCAGGTACAGAAATACTCTGTAGGCTGTGTGGACCTCCAGTCTCATGTTTCCCATTCATGTTCCTTAGAGAGAGTTTGCTCTTAAGGATTGGGAAGGTTTATTGGTGGGATCTATAAAATTTTGCTTGTTAAATTGTGTATTATGGTTCATTGAAATTAGTACCTCTATGACATATCCTATATAATAAAACCCTAATATGCAAATTGACAGAACAGCAAAACGACCGGTCACTATGATGCATACTATCTCCCTCCCCCTCCCCCCAGAGGGAGGCAACCAGCAGTGGTGATCAGGGGGTGGGGCCAGCTGGCATGTGCCAGAGGGGGCCCCTGATCACCCTGCCCACCGATTGCCCCACAGGGGGCCCTGATCGCTGGCCAGGCCTAGGGACCCTACCCCATATATTGGGAACAGTCTCTTAGATTTAAAAATTAAAACCTGGCCAGGCTACTCTAACCCTGAAAAAAAGAGTTGCAGTAATGACATGCATGGACTCTGGCTTGCACATGTTGTGGTCAGCTCTGATTCTGACACTTATAACTGTATCACAAAGCCAATTACTTATCTCTGCTTCAGTTTTTCCACCCATAAGATGGGGAAAATGGTACTATTACCTCAGAAGGATCATGCTATGTACTACTTTTTATAACCAGGCCAAAAATATGTAGCTGCCCATACAACAGCAAGATGCCTTTCACCTGTATGAAAAGTATGGTCACTGGTACATGCAGCGTGATTGCAAAGGGGATGTCTGACTGCCGGTTTAGACCTGACAACCCCACTAATTTCATGCACCAGGCCTCTAGTATGTTTATATTAACATTTCACAGTTTACAGTAATCAATGTTTTATAATTAAAAATATGTGTGTGTGAGTGTGTGTATAGCCTAGTTATGGCTTTTATATAACTACAGGTTTTGTTGTAGCTTATAGTATTTCACTGCATTAGCCCCAAATTATAATCTATCTTTCAAAACTCTGAAACTGTTTTTATTCTTTTAGAATGTATTATCTGACACTTTTCCCCAAGATGATTCACTTCATATTAAAGATTTGCTATTACTACAGTCATCTTTTTCTATAACTTTTCTTAGCCCTTAAGACTATTTATGTTTCTGCTACTTTTATATCAACAACAGTCATATCACTCATTTTCACATTGAGGAAACTGGCAAATTTTTAAATCTCCTGAGCCAATCATAACTTGCTACAAACTTTGGATATGGGTCATTGTACTTCACTTTTACCTTTTCATAATTCTCATCTTTGCTTGATGCTTGGAAACTTTTGTTTTAGAGTGAAATTCTCCATTCTCATTTTTTAAGCATTTCCATTTAATTTAATGAATTCTATATTGCTTCTTTATCTATGTGAATACTCTTTTTTCCTTAACTGTGTTACTCCTTAAATAATTTTGTAGAGCTCTGTAAACAAGGGGAACAATTTTGTTGAGGATAAATTACAGAGGCAGTTACCCCGTGATACTGAGAAAAAGGCTTATTTACTGCTGTTGCCTTGCCTTATATCTTGCTGACAATTTCTGTAGCAACATTATCAAAACTAAACAAATTCCTGTTGAATGAAGATGAATCACTGTCACAGATTTAACATCTGGTAACTATAGAATCTCAATAAATTCCTGTATACTTCTAAACTTAAATTTAACGTGCATTTTAAAGGTGCAGAATTTTTCATTTGCTCTTTGAGAGTGCACTAGACTCAAAAGCACTTTTCAGGGTTGACATAACCAAATCTAGTTTCAGTCAATGGAAGGAAATGTTTTTATTTGTTGTTTTGAACTAATCCTTTTTTAAAATATATGTTTTTATTGATTTTAGAGAGAGAAGAAGGGAGAGGGGTAGACAGATTGAAACATTGATGAGAGAAACACCCATCAGCTGCTTCCTGCACGCCCCCTACTTGATTTGGGACCTTCAACCAGGGCATGTGCCCTGACCAGAAATCGCACTGGTTACCTCTTGGTTCAGGGGTTGATGCTCATCCACTGAGCCATGCCGGCTGGGCTGAACTTACCGTTTTATACATATAAATTGGTTCTGCACGTTTAGTCTCAAGGTACTTGCTTAATTTCCAGTTGTATTTAAGCTACAATAAAGGAGAAAGTTGGTGTAACAAAAATCACAAATTAACACCAAAATAACCTGAGCTTATGTATAGAAAATCTGAAGGAAAGAGAAAGACCAGAAGACTAAAAGCAAAAGACTTTCTGGTATGCGGTGTGACTTGCCCTGCACTCTTACTTTCTTATTAAAAATACATTGAACTATGTTTTATTTCTGTACTTAACACAAAACTTTCACCTTTATAAAAGTCTTCTTGTACCTTTTGGAAAAATCTGTAAGACAGATTTTTATAAGTAAAATGTTGCATAATTCCCCACCCACACACACACTTACACATGTTAGGTACTTATACACACAACTGTATGTTTTTTCCTGTAAGCATGGTTTTAGCTTTATCCCACACATTTTTATATGCTGCAGTTACATTATCATTCAGTCCAAACATTTTTTTTATTTCCCACATAATTTCTTCTTTAACCCATGAATTACTTAGAAATGTTTGTCTAATGGTTAGATATGTGGAGTTTCTCTGGATATTTTGTTATTATTGACTTCTAATTTAATTCCATGTGGTTAGAGAATATTCTTTTTATGAATTTGATCCTTTTAGATTCATTGAGATGTATTTTACAGCCCACATATAGTCTATATTGGTAAATTAAATTTGTTCCCTTGAAAATATGTGTATTTTTCAGTTGTTGGATATAATGTCCTATAAATGTGAAATTAAACTAAGATGGTTTGTTGTTCAGATCTCCTATGTCCTTAATGATTTTTTTGTTGTTTACTTCTATCAGTTGCTGAAAGAGTACTGTCAAAACCTTTTACGACAAATGTAGAATTGTCTATTTTTCTCTTTTATCTGTTTATTTTTGCTTTGTGTACTTTAATCTCTTTTTAATTACTTGCACACTTAAATTGTGTTGTCTTCCTGATACATGTCCCTTTTATTATTATGAGATGTCTCTCTTTAACTCATAGTACTCTAGGCCTAGAAGTCTATTTTGTCTGAGATTAAAATAGACACTCCAGCCTACTTATACTTATGTTTCCATGATATATCTTTTTACTTTTCATTTACTTTCAACCTAACTGGTTTTTATAAAGTGTTTCTTTTGTCAACAGCATATAAGTAGGATCTTTCCTTTGTATCCATTCTGCCAATTCCAATTCTTTTAATTGGAATGTATATTAGTTTTCTATTGCCGATAAAAATGACTCCAACTAAAAACAATATCCATTTATTATTTCACAGTTTCCATGGGCCAGAAGCCTGGGCCAAGCTGCTTCTCTCCTTCAGAGTCTCCCAGGCCGAAATCCAGATGTCAGCAGGGCTGCATTTCTTTCTGGAGGCTCTAGGGGAGAATCCGTTTCCAGGCTCCTTCAGGTTGTTGGCAGAATTCAGTTCCATGTGGTGGGGGACCTGTTTCCTTGTTGTCCCTGTTTCTTTGCTGGCTGATCCCCAGAGACTGTTCTCAACTTCTAGAGGCTATCCACATTCCTGGGAACCATGACTTAGTTCCACCATCTTCAAAGACAGCAACATTAGCTGGATTTTATTTATTTATTTATTTATTTATTTATTTATTTATTTATTTATTTATTATTCTTTGAATCTCTCTTACCTCCTCTTCTGCCTCATTTCTCTGATTCACTCTTCTGCTTTTAAGGATGATGTGATTACATTGGGCCTACCAAGAAAATCTCTCTACTTTAGAGTAGTAGCTGATTAGTAACATCAATTTCATGTGCCAAGTCCCTTCACACAGAAACTAAGCTAGTTTGATTGACTAACCAGGGATAGGCATCTTAGGGGGATATTTTTAGAATTCTGACTAGCATTGAATATTTAGGCCATTAACATTTAATGTTATGTTTGGGTCTAGCTCTGTTTTCTTTTTTTTCTTATTTGTCTCTTATTTGTTCCTCTGTTTTCCTTTTCCAGTCTTCTTTCATATTTAAATATCTTTAGTGTTGACTTTTGGGAGATATCTCTTTGTACTATTGGTCTAGGGGTTACTATATATATATATATATATATATATATATATATATATATATATATATAATTTTCACAGTCTACTTATAGCAAATATTAGGCCACTTATAAATATAAAAACATTACAAATATATTTCCCTTCCCACCAACCTGAACTTTTTTTGAAAGAATTTTATTTATTTATTCTCACCCAAGGACACACTTGGAGAGAGGAAGGGAGAGAGAGAAAAGCATTGATGTGAGAGAGAAACATCACTTGGATGCCTTCCATGCGCGATCTACCTGGGAATTCAACCCACAATCTAGGTAGAGAAGTGCCCTGACCAGGAATTGAACTGGCAACTGTTCGGTGCACAGGACGACACTCAGTCAACTGAGCCACTATGGCTGGGCCACCAACCTGAACTTTATGTTAGAGTTAATCATATATATTTTAATTACATACATTGAAAACTCCACTATCATACATTTTGCTTTAAACAGTCATAAATATTTTAGAGAATTTATGAGAAAAAAAAGTAGTCTATATTTTTCTAACTACTTACCATTTCTGTGTTTTCTTTTTTTCTTAAAGCTACAGTTTTATTTTCTGGTATTTTCCTTCCACAGGAAAAACCTACTTCTTGCAATTCTTTTTTTTTTTAAATATATTTTATTGTTTTTTTACAGAGAGGAAGGGAGAGAGATAGAGAGCTAGAAACATCGATGAGAGAGATACATCGACCAGCTGCCTCTTGCACACCCCCCACCGGGGATGTGCCCGCAACCAACGTACATGACCCTGACCAGAATCGAACCTGGGACCCTTCAGTCCGTAGACCAATTCTCTACCACTGAGCCAAACCAGTTTTGGCTAAGTTGAACTTTTTTTAAAAAATATTTTTTTATTAAATTATTATCTGTGTACATATTTTAACATTGCCCTCCCCCTCCCATACATACCCTCCTTCCCCAGAGTTTTGTGTCCATTAGTTGTACTTATATGCATGTATACAAGTCCTTCGGTTGATCTCTTATCTCCCCCAGATCTCCCTACCCTCCCGGCTGTAATTTGACAGTCTGCTTGTTGCTTTACTGTCTTTATATCTGACTTTTGGTTCATCAGTTTATAATGTTCTTTAATATCCATAAATGAGTGAGGTCATGTGGTATTTCTCTTTCATTGACTGGCTTATTTCACTCAGCATGATGTTCTCCAATTCCATCCAGGTTGCTGCAAATGATGAGAATTCCTTCTTTTTGATGGCAGCATAGTATTCCATTGTGTAGATGTACCATGGTTTTTTGATTCAATCATTTGCTGACGGGCACCTAGGCTGTTTCCAGATTCTAGCTATTGTAGATTGTGCTGCTATGAACATAGAGGTGCATATATCCTTTCTGATTGGTGTTTCTAGTTTCTTGGGATATATTCCTAGGAGTGGGATTACTGGGTCAAATGGGAGTTCATTTTCAATTTTTTGAGGAAACTCCATACTGTTCTCCACAGTGGTTGCACCAGTCTGCATTCCCACCAGCAGTGCACAAGGGTTCTTTTTTCTCTGCAACCTCGCCAACACTTGTCATTTGTTGATTTGTTGATGTTGGCCATTCTGACAGGTGTGAGATGGTACCGCATTGTTTTGATTTGCATCTCACTTCTTGCAATTCTTGCAGAGTAGGTCGGATGGTGATAAATTCTTAGTTTTCCTTCATTTGAGAATGACTTTATTTTGCTTTTGTTCCTGAAGTATATTTTTGTTGGATATAAAATTTGAGTTGGTAGGTTGTTTAAATTTTTTTTTTTTTCTCTCTCAAGACTATAAGGATGTTATTCCTCTTTTCTGATTTCTGTGATTTCTTGGGGGAAATTCTCAGGTATTTGAATAATTATTCTCCTGTATGTAATGTTTCATTTTTCTCTGGTTGCTCTCAAGATTTAATCTTTATCTTTTGTGTTCTTTAGGTTGAGTATCATATGTCCAGGCATAGCTGTATTTTTTTTTTTAATTTTAAAAAATGTATCCTGTTTGGGGTTTTATGAGTTTCTTAAATCTGTAAACTTATATCTAATTGGGGAAATTTATAGACTTATTTTTTCAAAAAAAAAATTTCTGCCACAATCTCTTTTCTCCTTCTGAGATTCCAGTGACATATGTTAGACCTTTTGGTATTTTCTCACAGGTTTCTGAGGATTTGTTCATGCTCATCAATCTTTTTTCTCTTTATTCTTAAGATGGGTCATTTCTATTGATCTGTTATAAAGTTTTTTGACTCTCTACTTTGTCATTTGCATTCTGCTATTAAGCCCGTCCAGGGAAGTTTAAAAATTTCAGTACTGTTTTTTAATTCTAAATATCTACTTAGTTCTAGACAGTTTTAGAGTTCTACTCTTCTACTAAGAATTCCTGTCCCTTCATTTTATTATGTTTTCTTTCATCTCATATACCATAATTATAATGGCTACTTAAAAATAAGTATACACACACTATATATATTCCAACATCTGGACCACCTCAGGATTGGTATTTGTTGATTGACTTGATCACATTTTCCTGGATGTTTTTATGTCCTGTATTTTTGGATTATATTTAGGACATTGTGGATATTATGTTGTGTCGCCTCAGGGTTCTGTTATAATACTCTGGAAAACATTGAACTTTTTGTTTTAGCAAGAAGTCACCCAAGTGCGATTCACATTGTAAATTCTGCCTTAGCTTCTGTAAGAACTGGTACAAATATCAGTTCTCTAAGTCTTTCTTATCCTGGTTTGCTCCTGTCCTGTACTTGTATAGTTCAGGAGACTTGTGCAAGTGATTCAAACTCAGTTTAGTTCTGTAAGCCTTGGCTGTGCTGGTCTAAATTTCTCCCATGTGCATATCTCAGGAGTTGGACCGAGACTTCTGTGGCTTATATACAGAATTAGAGGATCTCTTTTTCTAGTTATCATCCCTTCAGAATTTCCCCCATCCTTTTTGGCCTGCAGGGATTCCTTTTCCTGGTTTCTCTATAAAGATGGGGTTCCTTCCAGACTTTTAGCCTGCTGCACACCTTTACTACTCTGGGGCTAGGGCAAAGCCACAGGAGGGAAAAACAAAATTGGAAGCCTACCCCCACATGAAAGGCCACATCTTCGAATTTTTGACTCCTCTCCTAATCCTTAGTGGGCTTCCCGCCCCCCCCCCCAATATTTCTTTCTCTGTTTTGATTGTTTGTTTTAGAATAAGTAGGAGAGGGGGTTTGTAGTGGGTTTATATTGCCCTGGCACATCCAAAGTACACTTTAATATATGTATCAACAAAGAGGTCAAAAAAATAACATCCCCTTACTTCATCTTCTGTGCAAGTAATTTGAGCTATGAATAGTTACTTTTAAACACCTGGTAACTGAACAACAAAAATAGGGGTTTTCAGGGAGTGTGGGACGTATAATGACTGGGAGCCTATAATGCTGGATTATGAATTCATAGGTACCAGGATCACCCCTGCCAGAGGACTCGGAGGCTGATTTACCTTGGATGGAGCACCAGCACTGAATGTCAGTTTGGTTCTGAACAGGGTAAGTCTTCTTTCCCATATTTAAAGCTGTGTAGTCTTTCGGGGGGAAATATTTTGCATATTTGTAAATAAGATGTGAGAAAACAAGTGGGTTAGAAATCTAGAAATATTTTACATAAAATATTTGGTGGTATGTATGCCTCCTGTGCTTTTAGGTGCTGCTCTACCATTTGAGATGACATCCTCTTGGAACAAAAGTGCTGATATCCCAGGAGGAGATATACATGGTTTTGATCATTTACTTCTGAACTGCCTGCATTTTCAGAGAAATGTTTTGCAGAAGAAGAGACAATGACTTCTAGGTGTTTCAAAGGAAGATTGGGCAAGGGTCCTCCCCAACTGTTACCCATCACCTTTGAAGTCCACTGATGCTATTTCAGGATATATCAAATGAAAGAATGGTGATATGGTTCTTGTTACATGAGTGTATATTTACTATTAGTAGGTTGTGTATTTAAAGGTACCCAAGATTAACAGTAAGTAAAAAAGAGGAGAAAGATTATAAAAGTTTATGTTACTTATGCATTGAACTTTGTGTGTTACTTGCATTAATGTGTACATTTATTAGGAGTGCGTTTGGTGGATGTGCGTGCTAAAAACTAGAATCAGTTGAAGAAAATGAAAGAGACTAGGATCAGTAAAAAAAAATAAAATGTTTCCTTTACCCTAACCTAATTATAAAAACACATTTAAGAATCTTGCTTGTTTTTAGGCTTTAACAAGATATGTGAGTGCTCTCTATGGATAGATGTGTTTCTTTGGTTTCCGTGATTATAGTTGATGTTTGATCAGTGTATCATGGAAATCTGCCTCTCTGCTGATCTTCTAAGCATCATATTAAGTGCAAGTTTTGCAAAGAACCCTTTTTATTTCTAATGATTTGGTACAGCTGGCTCTGGATAGTCCTCTGGATAGTGTGTGATTCGGGGGCTAATGTTCCTGTGAGCAGGAATGTGATTGGGACAAGAGTGGGAAAGGAGAATTTTGTAGGTATACCTTGGAGTTGAATACTTCTCATTGACGAAAGAGGTATACATACAAAATTAGGAAATGGGAAGCAAGGTTACCCATTGGCTATGACTGGTTACTCTTCTCTGGGCCGAATCCTGCTGAACTCCCCAGCCAAAGAGGCTTTGGGCATGAGATGAACATTGTTCTGGACTTTACTCCTATCTACTGGTAGTTTGAAGGTGATATTAAATAGAGTATCTTTCTAAAAGCCCAGAGATATTCCTGTATTCTTATTTTCTCAAATACCTAGGCCTTCCCAAAAGCTTGTAACCAAGGTGCAAAATAATATATTAACACACAGGACACATCTTTCCTAAAGCACTGGTCCTCAACTTTTAGGTGGGAGAGTTAAACCAATTTGGCTCCGCTTTTTTGTTTCTGGGTTTCTAGTTGTGCTCTGTATTTATCGTTTTAGATATGGTTGTTAAGGGGACCAGAATTTGTGTGGGGCTTTTTGCCTTAATCAATTAATAGTATGTTGTTGTTTTTTCCAAAAGACATTGACTAGAACTTAGCCCAGGAATTTTACTAGCACTTTTCCCTATTACCTACCCTGTAATATTAAAATTCTAATCATACTATCTGAGCCTCAAAAGAGTAGGACATTCAGGAAGCAAAATAAGTGGCTGCAATGTAGAAGTCTATGTAGGTGGCTCAATTAAACTTCGGTCTTGATTTTGAAGCTCTGTCTTTAACCTCTGACCAGTGTTTGACTAGACCAGGTATGGCTGATATGTGGAACAAATTTAGTGTATAGGCATTACTAGGCCTCAAAATAAAATATTATTATTTTTACTTTGAATTATGTTTCAACAGCCACCATAGCATAAAAAGCAGACACTACTTAAAAGTCAAGTAGCTGTCCAGCTTATTTCAATGTTAGTTTTATTTAAAGATTGGTGTGAAAATATCACCTCAGTGTCTGAGGGTCTAGGATTAGACCTTTTTTTATTCTATATTTGCTCTTGGTATCTTTTATTGATTAAAACATTTTGTGCACTTTAGAATTAAAAAACTAAAAACTATTTACTATAAGTCCAAGTTGAGACTAAAAGCTCATATCTGGTTAGAACCTTAGAAGTACTTGAGAAAGATTTTGCAAACTGGGGGCTAAAGACCCTGAACTAAAATAATCCTATTTTTTTTTTCAATTTAAGGTTACTTTGTCTTTCCTTACAAGGATATGATTAAGTCACATACTAATAGGAAATATGTATATGTACTAGTGGGAAAATGGGCTTGCTGTGTGTATGTATATTTTACAATTAATAAATATTATATATGTTATTGAGCTCCCTAGATAGTTTTTATTTGCATTTATTTAATTAATAAACTATAAACAACATATAGAACACTGTATGGTGTTTAAAAATATGTTTGAAATAATCAGTTAATTCTTTTTGGGAAAGTTAGGATATAGGGCTGACAAGTTAATTTTCTTGTACAGCCAGGACATCAAATAACGTGTCTTGTAAAGACTACCTGGTAAAGGTGGTGACAGACCCAGGCTTAGAACCTAGATTCTCCTGATTGAGAATCCCCTGCTTGGTTAGATTAGCTAACATCCTATTGAAATGGAAACATAGAAGATGTGTTGTCTTGTGTGACTCTCTCATTATTGGTTTCTTTACCTTACTTGTGCTAAAATATAAGGCTGGATCTATAAGCAACTGCAAATCAGATTAGATTGAAAAATGTGACTGACTTATTTTCTGTGACCTCCTCAGTGTAATCGAGCCACTGGCAGAGGATCTGAAATTGGAGGGTCACTGCTCTGAAAGCTTTAAGGCTAGTCCTAGTGCATTGGACTAAGTGGACTTTTCTCTATTGATTTGTATTGTGTTTTTACATTAGAAATGGGCCCCTAACACTATGTAAGTGAAAAATTATGTTCTCATATTGCTTTTTATTTATTCATTCATTTTATTAAATTATTATCTGTGTACATATTTTAACATTGCCCCCCCCCCAATATATACACTTCCTCCCCAGAGTTTTGTGTCCATTGGTTATACTTATATGCATGTATACAAGTCCTTTGGTTGATCTATTATCTCCCCCAAATCTTCCTATCTTACCTGCTGTAATTTGACAGTCTGCTTGTTGCTTTACTATCTCTAAATCTATCTTTTGGTTCATCAGTTCATAATGTTCTTTAATATCCATAAATGAGTGAGGTCATGTGGTATTTCTCTTTCATTGACTGGCTTATTTCACTCAGCATGATGTTCTCCAATTCCATACAGGTTGCTGCAAATGATGAGAATTCCTTCTTTTTGATGGCAGCATAGTATTCCATTGTGTAGATGTACCATGGTTTTTTGATCCAATCATCTGCTGATAGGCACCTAGGCTGTTTCCAAATTCTAGCTATTGTAGCTTGTGCTGCTATGAACATAGGGGTGCATATATCCTTTCTGATTGGTGTTTCTAGTTTCTTGGGATATATTCCTAGGAGTGGGATTACTGGGTCAAATGGGAGTTCATTTTCAGTTTTTTGAGGAAACTCCACACTGTTCTCCACAGTGATTGCACCAGTCTGCATTCCCACCAGCAGTGCACAAGGGTTCTTTTTTCTCTGCAACCTCGCCAACACTTGTCATTTGTTGATTTGTTGATATTGGCCATTCTGACAGGTGTGAGATGGTATCGCATTGTTGTTTTGATTTTCATCTTTCGGATAATTAGTGACTTTGAGCATGTTTTCATGTGCCTCTTGGCCTTCCTTCTGTCTTCTTTTGAAAATATTCTATTTAGGTCCATTGCCCATTTTTTAATTGGATCATTCATCTTCCTTTTATTTAGTTGTATCAGCTGTCTGTAAATGTTGGAGATTAAACCTTTATCAGTGGTAACATTTGCAAATATGTTCTCCCACACAGTGGGCTGTCTTGTTGTTTTGTTGATGGTTTCTTTTGCTGTAAAAAAAACTTTTTATTTTGATGTAGTCCCATTTGTTTATTTTCTTTTTAGCTTCCATTGCCATAGGGGCAATATCAGTGAAGAAGTTCTTTTGGCATACGTCTGAGATTTTGCTGCCTGTGGATGCTTCTAGTATTTTTATGGTTTCCCGTCTGATGTTTAAGTCCTGTATCCATTTTGAGTTTATTTTTGTGTATGGTGTAAGTTGGTGATCTATTTTCATTCCTTCGCATGTATCTGTCCAATTTCCCCAACACCATTTATTGAAGAGACTGTCTTGACTCCATTGTATATTCGTGCCTCCTTTGTCAAATATTAATTGAGCATAGTGATTTGGGTTGATATCTGGGTTCTCGATTCGATTCCATTGATCTATATGTCTGTTTTTGTGCCAGTACCAGGCTGTTTTGAGAACAGTGACTTTGTAATACAGCTTGAAGTCTGGTATTGAGATTCCCTCCTACTTTACTCTTCTTTCTCAGGATTGCTGTGGCTATTCGGGGTCTTTTATTGTTCCAAATGAACTTTTGGAGAGTTCTTTCTAGGTCCGTGAAATATGCCATTGGTATTTTAATGGGGAGTGCATTGAACCTATAGATTGCTTTGGGAAGTATGGACATTTTGATGATGCTGATTCTACCAATCCAAGAACATGGTATGTTCTTCCATCTGTTTACATCTTCCTCTATCTCTTTTTTCAGTGTCGGGTAGTTTTCCACATATAGGTCCTTTACTTCCTTAGTTAAATTTATTCCTAGGTATCTTAATTTTTTTGGTGCGATGGTAAATGGAATTGCTTTTTTAGTCTCTGTTTCTATAATTTCACTGTTGGTGTATTGAAATGCCATGGATTTCTTGGCATTAATTTTGTATCCTGCTACACTGCCAAATTCATTTATTAAGTCAGTTGGTTTTTTAATCCGGTCTTTTGGGTTTTTATGTACAATATCATGACATCTGCAAATAAGGATAACTTTACCTCTTCTTTTCCAATTTGGATGCCTTTTATATCCTCTTCAAGTCTAATTGCAATGGCTAGTACTTC